CAGCTCTCCAGATTGATGACACAAGTTCATTGGCATATTTCAGGAAAGGTGTTGCATTATTCGAACTCAAGGATGTCAAACAATCATTAAAGGTAATAAATCTTGGTTAATATTGCATTCTTGAGTTATTCCACCACCAGGTTCCACTCTTGGTAAAATTTCTGCTATATGGTTGGTAATGCTATATCATATTTGCTCCATAACCTGTATTCTGCTTCGTGCGAGATCTCACAAGACTGTTAATAATATGGCCCTGGAATCAGTTGCTAGTCACGTGATATAGGTCAAGCTTTGATAAAAAATAACGCTAAATCCTGGCTGATGAAACCTTAATATGGCTCCAATAATTTTGGCGAAACAAAAAACCTTCAGAATAAATACAAAATTGACAGCAACCTGGAATTGTTATGTCGAGACAACATGTTATGTCTCTACAGAAGAAGAAATGATGCATTGTGCGGAACATAGTAGATTGCATGGAGGAAATTTCTTATTAATAATGTTAAGTGAAGCAGCTGCAGCACAGCCTAGCATGAAATGGTTGATTGTACGTTCTTATATGGGATAATTATATGGACACAATTACCATAATACATTTAATGTACATTATTTTTTCCATCGAGCAACTTTATAAAAAAAACATGGAAATATTTTGTTAATAATACTATTTCAAGAAAAATTTATTATCAATATGTATGTGCAGATTTTATTTTTATGGCATATCTGTTCATTAGTATTTTTATATCTTTCCAAATTCTAGACTCTCTTCTGGAGAATCGTTGAAACTTGAAGCAATACTTATTAGTTCATTCGTATAAACTTCATGCATATTATCACTTTGTGCCATAAAATACAGTGTAATGTTGTTTTTATTAAAAATTAATATCAAAGTTTGGTAGTAATTGTATTATTATAGTTGTCAAATGAATAAAAAAGTAAGTACATAGTTTAACTTATTGATATTCAGAACAATTATTTTTGTTCTATATAACACCTATCAATTATATGCATTAGTAGACATTTATAGACAATATAAAATAATAATAACCGTATTAATCAGTCATCTAGATCTGCACATCATCACATTTACATACACAAGGCTATTTTTTCTGAATCACCGTAAAGTTCGTGGGTTTACCCAGCAAAATGTTACAGTTTACCCATACTTTTCTACATTTGGTTTTTAGTTCCCATTCGGACGCAGTCCGAAAACGGGGACTTATGTTTTGACCTCCGTGTGTCCGTGCGTGCGTCCGGGCCTGTATCTTAGAAATTCCTAGACCAATCACAATCAAACTTCAAACATATATCATATATGATATTATACATATGCACGTCAATTTGTTTCAGGATCTGATTCAAGATGGCCGAATGGCGGCCATTTTTGTGTTGAAAAATCCTAAAAATCAAGCATTTCTCAGCTGTTTACAGATGGATTTTGTTAAAGCTTGGTACATACATTGTACATTATGGGTTCCTGATGCGAGTCATTTTGTTTTTCAAATTGGATTCAAAATGGCTGATTGGCAGCCAATTAGTTTTAATGAATGCGGTTCTAGAGCCATCTCTGACATGCTTTGGACTGATTATGTTCAAATTTTATATGTTCATTATACATTATGCCATAGGTATACAGATATATTGCTTTGACGATCCAATTCAAAATAGCCAAATGGTGGCCATGTTTTGCTAAAAAATAATCAAATTCCAGGATGTCTGGCATCCCATAACTGGATCTAGATCTTTTATGGATGGATTTTGTTCAAACTTGGTACATACATTGGACATTATAGTACTTAGATGCAGGTCAATTTGTTATTCAGATCAGTTCTGAAATGGGCAACTTGTGGCCAAATTATTTTTATGAATGCTGTTCCAGAGTAATATGACATGCTTTGACTGATCATGTTCAAACTTTATATATAAATCAAGTCGCACATATGCACATGTATTCGTTTGACTATCAGATTCAAGATGGCCAAATGGCAGCTGTTTTAACTTTTTTAAAAACATCAAAATCAAGCATTTTTGCATTCCATTTTACAATGAATGTTGTTCTTTCTCCATGTCTCTGACATTCTTTGACTGATTGCAGTCACATTTTACAACGACATTGCAGGAGCGATATCGCTTGCCTTGATTTTTAACATTTAAATAGCCACCATTCGGCTATCTTGGACAGAAAATGGCTACCAGTCAGCCTTGATGCGTGTCATTTTGTTCTCCAGATCGGATTCAAAATGGCCGGCCTATTTTGTTTTAATTAATGCTATTCCAGAGCAATATCTCTTTAATATGGATATATCTCTGAAATGTTTATATTAAAACTGTATATCTTAATTTGATAACTAATGGGGACTGTGCCTTGTTTATTCTTAATTTGAAATAATATCAAATTTGTCAAAGAAATCGTTTCTAATACGTATACGAAGTTCGCAACTGGGACTTATAATTTGGTCTCTGTTTGTCCGTACGTCAAGAGTCATATTTCAGAACTATGTGGACCAAATCTGTTCATTTATGGCATTTGCCAAGTACTTTATCAGGAGCAGTGGTTTACTGATTCAATCCAAGATTGCTGTCTGGCAGCCATTTTGTTTTTTGAAACCATTGTATCTTATACATGCTTTGTCAGTTTTTGTTCAAATTTGGGTACATACATTATACATGCTATGGGATTGTAATGAATGTTTTTTCTGTGAGATTATCTAACAAACTTTTTGACTCTGTGGTCAAACACACTTTACTGTATGGGCAGATATATGGGACATTTTTCATGTGAATATATTTAACGGTTCAGACAAAAATAAATCAGTTATGGAAAGTGATAAATTTACTTCAAAATGCTTGGAAATTGCCAACCTCAGACAGGAGGTCCCCTTGGACCCACTCGCCACGGCGATGTCTCTGGTAACGGATGCCTCCCTTACAGGTTGGGGAGTGCACCTATTGGACGAACAAGTCCAAGGAATATGGCCCCTGCATTGGATTCAGGGTCACCATATGAATTGGTTCAAAAGTACACTTAGCACTGTTACAATTACGACCCATAGTTCGGGACCACAGAGTCTTGCTTCGCACGGACAACACAGTGGTGGTCTCCTGCATCAACGGAGGTGGGACCAGATCCCCATCGCTGTCAGCTCTAGCGGGGCAAATTCTCCATTGGTGCCTGGAATGCAATGTGGAGCTAACTGCACACCACCTTCCAGGGGTGCGAAACAGCCTAGCTTCCAGACTGTTTCGACTTTGGGATGGTCCCAATATAGACCTATTCACCACACCCCGGAATGTCAATCTCCCGACATACATGACACTCCTGTCGACTCCAGGAGCATGGGCCATGGATGCATTATCGATCCTGTTGGCCCACATTGACGAGTATGCCTTTCCTCCCTTCCCGCTAATTCACTGGGTACTTGACCAAGGCGTGGTTTCTACTACTGTTGGAAATGATAGTCAACATACCGGTAGTGCTTCTGGACATCCTGGATCTCTGTCCTGACCAGGTGGCACACTACCAATGAGCCCAGCAGTGTACCACTTACATGCATGGAGGTTCTTAGTAGACAAACAGACAGGAAGATTTATCTGAGCGGGCTGCTAACGTCCTGGCTGAGACGAATAGGGGTTCCCCCAACGCAGCTTATGACTGGGCATATGTTGATTGGTGTAGCTGAAGGGAGGTTGATCCATGCCACCCAACTGTTGGCCAGGTAGCTGACTTTTTGATGAGTTAGGTTTATCCTATGCAGCAATCGTTGGCTGTAGAACAGTCCTATTATTAGGACTTTGATCCGCTGGAATCAGCACCACTGAAATATTTGATATCTTCCTACTAGCTCTCACCTCTGGTAGGTGTCGTTCTGAGTTAGGGGCCCTGTCATTTTCGAGCAGTTGTGCCGCCTTTATGGACAATCAATCTGTGCTAAAGACACAAATCAGGTTTCTCGCCAAGAACCAAATCCTAGGGCACAATCCACAGCCGATTGACATCCCCCGTTTAGCCAATATTGTTGGCCCGCAGGATCAGGAGGAGATGCTTATATGTCCGGTTCAAGCTTTGAGTTGCTATGAAAGACGTACTAGGAAGTCGAGGCAAGGAACCAAGCACAGGGTAAGCAGGACAGACGAGCCTCCCCGACTTCCATTTCTAGGTGGATCACTTGGACAGTGTTTGAGGTTTATGAACGATTGGTGTCCTCAGCACAGGGTCAACAGAGACACCAAGTACCAGTGCTTGAGGTTCATGCAATCGCAAACTCATTAGCTCTTGCGTCAGGTGCCCCATCGTACACGTACTTAGGACAGGCTTCTGGCGAACGCAAAGCGTCTTTATCAATTATTACATATGAGACACGCAATCCATTGAGGAAGGTCTTTTTAGGGTGGGTCCCGTGGTTGCAGGTCAAACTTTGATTGTGCATAGGTGATAGAGCAGTCTCTGCTACAGATTTGTGCGGAAAAGTTTCTTTGTCATCGCTCCTTGGAAATCCCAGGTCTATGCCCTCATGCAGAACTGTTCTGTTCTTCTTTGGAATTCTAATTACCCTCATAATTGGGTTTGGGTCTAGCGTCCTCGGGCAGTGCCGACCCCGTCACCTTTTCAGCAGTGTGATTTTACTATGGGGACGACACTGGTAAGGTAAGACACCGTGTTTCACTGGTCATAGCTAGATGGTAGTCATCATACCCACAATAAACTGGGTCCCTCCCAACCACCCCACTTTCTGTAGCTATTGGATTTAAGTCCTTGTATATGGAGAAAATAGGGGAGGAGTGAACATAAAGTAAGATGGCACTGATCTCTTGACTGTGGTCACATGTTACGTGATGTGGAAGAAAATCTATGAGGTCATGGGGCTTCCCCTGACCTAGATTTCTCTCTCAGTCGTTGGCTGAATCGCAGATTAATACCTACAGTTCAAAATAGTCATTTCGACTGACCGGAGTCTATGGTGGGTATTATTCTATTTCAAAGGTGTGCTGTACTAATTCTAACATTGGTCATAACCAGTCTGTAATATGAATTCTTTATTGTTTTCAGGTGACTTTCAAAAGAAACTTGATTTTTGAATTGTCTTTATGTGTGTAATTTGTTTTTGTGGTTATTTTGTTATTAATCTGTATTTTTTTTTATTGAGGTTACAGTTATTTCATTTTTGTTGTCAATGTTTTTTTCCCAAAGGTTTTCCATGTTTAGATTAAGTGCTTGTTCTATTATTGTTAATTTTTGTTCCAGATTTATCTAGTATTTGACCTAGCTCAAATGTTTCATATATCAATAAATGCTTTGAACTGTTATTAATTTTGATCCAGTATTTAATCATGTGTGTCTATAAAATATTTAATCACCCCCAACCCACCCATAATGCCTCCATAGTCATTCACTGTACTAGTTAAGTCTGAAACATGTTATAACTGGTTCCTTATCATTTTTTCAACTCACCTGTGTCATTTGTTTTCAGGCTTTTTTTGAAGGGGAAAATCTTTCAGGTGATCACACAGGTAAATATGCGCTGTGAGCAATTTAACTGTTTTCTCATCCATCTCATGATCTGTATTCAGTTACCAGTTTTAGGAAATGTTATTCTTGTGAAACACCACTAGTTTAAATTGTACTATAGATTCCTTTTTCATATTTTTCTATATTTGATCAAGACATGTATTTATACATATAGCCAATGGGAATCTAGGTTTATTTGGTACAAAATTACCAAAGAAATTATAGAAAAATCATTTGATAGTGTTCTAAGCATTGAATATTTACTTGTTGCAATTTTTGCTATTTGTAGCTAAGTTTGAAAAGTGGATTGACAAATGTAAAGCCAGTATTATGGCCACCATGAATGTGATAGAAGAAAAAGCAAAAATTTTGAAGATGAAAGGAAACGAGTGTTTTAAAACTAAAAAGTACACAAATGCCATCGAACTATATGAACAGGCTGTTAAATTAGAGTAAGTTCCTATATGAATTATTATTCTCTGTCAGAAGAAGTCTGCAACTTACACTTTTAAGTTGATTTCTTTATATGTAACATGTACAGGTATATCTTACACCTTGCAATACAAACATGTTATTGTCAATGTCCAAGATATTGACTTGTTTTTTTGGTATTCTAACAACAGTTTGTTTAAATAGGTTATAAATTTGTATATATATATGCATTCTGTTTTTGTAGTTGAATGTCTGACACTACTTTGAACTTAATCTCCATATATTAATTAGAAATATTTTGTATACACATCAACCCATTTCATCATGTTTAATATCATAAATCAATTAAAACATTGTATATACAAATTGCTTAATGTAGTTGAATGTCTAAACACTTTCAATATATGGTCATGTAATTCGTTTCTTACACTAAACCTTCATGAAAAAAGGTATATTTATACTTAATATATTTAATAAAGATTAAATCAAATCAATTAATCTATATATGTTAATTAGCTAATTGCATATTAATAACGGTTTAGAATTAATGTATAAATAGAAACAGTTGTATGTTAGTTGTTCAGAAAACATCAAAGGATATTGAATTCATTTCAAACTGGAGCACTTTCTAGCATCTCTAGTCTTCAAATTTTGTACAGTGACAAGATGAAGATGTTCTCTATAGTTTTTAGCTCCCGTGAAATGGAGCTTATGTGGTACCGGTGTCTGCCAATCTTGATTCGTAAATGTGCTGGTTACATGTACAGTGTTCTCCTCAAGCCTGCGTCGCTTAGACAATAGCCGCGCAACTTTCGTTTCGCCCGCGATTCTGCTGTATTCTCATCAGGTTCTTTCTTTCCACAATACTGTTTCCCTCAAGCTGGGCCGTTTCCAGGCCATTGTTTTGCAATGATGAATCAGAACAGAACAATTCGTGTGAACTGATCGATCCTAACTTATTATCTGGATACTCGTATTCACCTGTAGATACTTCGGCCTACTTTCAAGCATGAATATAGAAGGAAATCAACGATTTTTTTTCAGTATCGCTTCAGACTTTGCAAGAAATTTATATAATAATCAGTGATCGCTACTATTGGGTTCAAAAATTATTTATGATCATTCAAAATATAGTGGCCATGGCTGTCAGTTCAACCCAGTACTGACCTTCACCGTTATTGCGACGCCACGAGCAGAGAAAAGGAAAGCTGAATCCCCGCGTCTACACTTAATCCATGTATAAGGCAGACACCCGACAGCAACAGCAAGGAAGTTTGTCAGTTTTATTCAAGATATAAATTTTCTATTTTACGCATTGGAGCTACACAACGTGACTGAAAGCACTTCCAATGTGATCTAATTTGTAAACAATCTCTTTGCACACGACTGCCAGTGTCTTCTCCTCGAGCAGACAGTAATGTTTCACATTTGTTTTCGCATGGTTTCCATTTTACTCAAATAAAACGAAGCAGTTGATTCCTATTTTACTTAGTGTTTATTCTTATTTGATATTTTTAAATAAAAATGCACTCATTAAACAAATAGTAAATATGCTAGTTTTTTGTTTTTGCCGAACAAGGACAAGGAAGACAAAATGGTGGTAGTTTTGTGTAGGGTTGATTGCGATCTTCGGTTTGTATCAAAAGCACGTCTCACAAATGAAATATTTTTTTTTGAGCAATAGTTTGATAGCAATTAAACAAATTTCAATCGTTGGCGTATGTAAGGGCTGGATAACTTACTTTCAAGGGCTCAAAGTCCGGACGAACATTAAACTACGATGTTTTTATTTATCTGTTCTAGGTATGTTGTACAGACTTTTTAGTTGTACTATTTTGATGATTTAATTTCAAGATTTACATGTTCACGTAGGTTTAATTTAGCAGATTTTACTTGTCAGCAAAAATAGCGAAATTTGCCCATTGCATCAGAAAGATCTATCCCGATTTGCTGCACTGAGGTTAATTGCGGTTTTTACTACTCCATCGCTAATGACACTAATTGCCAAGAATTAAAAAAAAAACAAGTGAAATTAAGTCGCATTGGGAAAAAAACCCATAAGAAATCAAAGCAAAAATTATTCAACTGCAGACGAGACAAACCCCGACCTCTAGAAATACCTCATTCATAGTGCCTCACTAGTGCCCTTTGTTTACAAGTATAGTGTCCTTGCATGTTTTTCAAAATGCCCATATCAAAATCATGTGATCAAAATCATACAGTATGTCATAGATTCTCAGACATCTTGATCAATTTTATTGATGGATTGACCTACATGCAATTACATTCACTTATTAGGCAAAGCCTATACTTTTATAATAAATGCTCTGATCACACGGGAGCTATTTACAGTTTGACTTTGATTTTTCGTTTGAACCAATTATTGTCACAATTCACAAAATGTTTCACTGTTTCTTGCTTGCTTGTTTCAATTTTATTCAAACTTGATTTAAACGTGACACATGATGGGTTATTGACGTCACTTTGCTTTATGGAAATTTTATTCAAAATTGCAACAAACCTTGACAGATTTTGGTAAAATCAAGACAATAGTGTTAATATGCACATTTGTTATTACAACTATTTCTCTGGTGTGTCTGGTCCAGTTTCACTCAAACTTGGTGTTTGTCTTTACTCATGATTGTATCACCAAGAGCTTTACTTTAAAGTGACAAGTCTACAAGAGTTTCGTATACTGGAGATGTGATTTATTCAAGCAACAGTGCAGGTCTGCTTAACACTATACAGCGAACGATCAGTAGTGTAAAACCAAGCACATTCATGAACATCGTATTCACAATCTTAAGCTCCGTAAAAATTGAAAAATACAGATAAATACAAATAACAATAACGTAGCAACACAATTAAATTTATAGTAATGATATGCTAGGTATGTCGAATAATAGTAACAAATGACCGTTTTTCCGATCTACTCAAAACATCTAAAATATTTGATAACAAGATAAATCTTGAACAAAAAGAAGGCAAAAATAGTGTAAAGCCTTGGGGTAATCGAAAGTATCCGAAATTCACAGTGACATAACAGAAAACAGCTTTCATGTCTAGTATGTATCAACAAACGGCAAAAAGGCGAATGGATACATTAGGGCAAGTCACTTAGAAAGATCAAATAAGTAATGAGTAAAAGTATTCAAAATACAACACAAAATAATTAATACTATCAATAAAAGGCCGCAAACACACCAAGGAGTCTACAAATGCATAAAATTCATGAAACAGAAGAACTATTTTCTATGCGTAATGGCACACCACCGCGAAGGTGAAGCTATTCAGTCTGTTTGTTTCGCGAGGCTCTTCCAACATTCTAAGAAAGAACATTTCATATCTGCCAATAGAGGGCGGCAGCCACACTCCCACCCAAAATCATTTATGATTTTCTACAACATGTACCAAAAAACTTACGATAACGAGTGTACTCTATACTGCTCCCACCCATCAGGGCTACATCAGGGGTGGTGGTCTTCAGAATTGTTTTCTACAAGTAGAACAAGTTTATGGATAGATCTCTCTAGAATAGAGCAATTAGTCGTTCTCTTACCTCGTTTGTTTAAGTTTGGGTCACCCATAAGAATCTTGACCCGTCGTACAAGTCCATCTTTGTCATTAATGGTTTCTATTACCTTTGCTA